GTGGCATCCTCTCTGGTATTGAATTGATGCACACATGTTAGTGCATCGTTCATATGTTCTCTGGCCATTCCAGGATCTCCTATTAGAGGAAGGATGGGGGGGTAAGGATTGTCTTTCCATCTCAGTTGCCATCAGGTTAGTCCCCACAGACATGGCCACCGGTCAACCTGAGAGAGACAACCTCTCACTAAAGATTCTTTGTCAAGTGATTCTAGATGTGTCAAATTGACAGTTAAGAAGGATCACAGTTTTGTGACATATTTTCCCATACTGATATAACTACTGTTCTTCAGATTCATATTTGAAATATGATCTTTATATCAATAAATACTTTGGCATCTTTTGATCCTTTATGAAATTTAATATATGGGTGTGTTTCTAGACCCAAATACCCCACCTTTCTTCTTTTCTACTCATCCACACTAATACTTAATCCACATTAATACTAACTAAACACATGAATTAAATGCATAACGTGTTAGTTACTTTCACTTCAGATCAACCACAAGATAAACCTCTTTATACTTACACGTTCATTCTATTTTATCATTCACTACTCTCAGTTGACAGACAACTTTCCATCTAATATTGCCTTTTCTCCATTTATTCTGTGCAACTTTTAAGAACGTTTGCCTCTCTGTGTGGGAAAAGCTTATTGGCAATGAATATTCTCATCTTTTGTTTAAGTTAGAAGTTGTTTATTTATTTATTTATTTTTATCCATGCATGTGAAAGAGAGATATAAATAGAGGACAGACAGACAGACAGACAGACAGAGAACACGGAGGCCTCAGGATTCATATAAATGCTAACGTCAGGTGCCTTCCTTGTTCAGAAGCTAGCTGGCTCTACTTTACGCCTCCCCCTTCCACAGAGAATGCCAAACCTCACATGTAATTGTCTCCTGCTTGGAGCAAACTATTACTCTAAGCCTTGTTTTAGGACTTTCTGAATGGTGACGTGTGAGGTAGCACTCCTCCTGCCAAGGTATTTTTCTGGATTCTGCTTTGGTCTGAGCAGTGTGGATTGTAGGGTCACAGCAGGTAGACTTTTACAGTGTAGTGCACACAGCCCTAAGGTAACCTTCAAGCACTGTTTCTAAGAGAGCTTCTCACCACACACCTGCTTGTTCAAAAACTAAACCAGGGCGGTATGTCAGACTTTGATAACCACAGCCCGAGGTGAGCAGCAATCGGCAGTGTTCTCTAGTAAGTCCTTCAGAGTCAGAAAATATAAACTTGCTTTTTGTTTTACGCTATGAAGATTTTGTAAATAGCAGTGCCCAAGTCTGGCACAGTATGGATGTAGGATTGAGACAAGCCACATTATTTCCCCTAAGTTCTTTTATCTGTATTCTGTCTAAGCATCTAATCTTTTGATAGCCCAGTAGCCTTACTAACCTCGGCAAGGTATATTGAGTAGATACAGGGGCCATACAGACTTTTCTTGCTTGAGTTCATGAGTCTACCAGATGTTCAGACAAAGTCTTCATGATGTGCCCGATAGTATCAAAGTAAAATATTTAATTTAATAGTTCCCAAAGAGCTATAGTTTAAATGGTTCAAGCACGAATTAGGAACTTGTTTAGACAAATATGAACATGACGATAGCCAGCTGCATGCTGGGATATAAAGCTTTGCATTGGTTAGTAACTGACAGTGTTCCATTATGGGGTGGGGGATGGGGGCTGGTTCCCTGCACGTCAGCTACTGCTACAAACAGTTTGGCTTTTCTTCAAACAAAATGTTTATGGAACTAACGGGTTCAAAATACCAGGTCTCAATCTCAGTTACGCCATTTGGACTAGGTGGAACATGTGTCGGTAAATTATGTTGTTGAACCATACCCTACTAACTTCTGAAATAACACAGCCGTGTGTGGACACTGTCCTTTTCACCGAGAAAAGGCTTGAACCCCAGAATACCAGCACTCTTGCCTCAAAAAGCAACCAAAGCCAGGTTGTTCTGCTGTTTCCTTTTGGGAGGGTTGAAGATGAGTTATGAGGAGCTAGATGGTAAAGAGAGAGGTGGGAAGCAAAGCACTTATCTTTATTCTATGTTTTATTTACTAAAAATATAATTGCATTATTTCCGCCTCTTCTTCTACCTCCCAGGCAGTCCCCTTATTCCTTTCCAAAGTTATGGCCTCCTTCTTTTGATTGTTGTTACAGGTATACATAAACAAACGAATGTGTAAGCACAACCTGCTAGGTCTGTTCAGTGTTGTCTGAATGTATTGACCATTTGGTACCAGATAACCAACCAGGGGGCTCATATCTGAAGAAAGCGAATTCTCTCGGTCCCAGCAGTAGTTAATTACATGTAGCACTTACTCTGTGAGATCTTTGCCATCTACACTGGTGTACATTGGTGTACATGTTGTTGACTTCTTGTTTAGGTAGCCATGTTGTTGAGATTTATGTGCATAGCTTCTCTGTCACAGACAGAAGGCATCATGTTATGGCAGACTTCCTGGGGCTCTTATAATCTTTCCAGCCCCACTTTCATCAATGTTCCTCAAGTTTTAGGTGCAGGAATTGTAGCTGTAGATGGGGCTGAGTATCTTATGGTCAGTTGCTCTTTGCATTTTGGCTAGTTGTTTTTTTATAACGATCTCCTGCTGCAAAAAGGTTCTTTGATAAGGAATGAGAGGTACACTTATCTCTGTCTCTGTTCTATTTCATTCTATTTTTAACTTGGCTTTGAATTTAAAGGTACCAGGTGATCTTCAATGTAAGCTGATTAGTGACCTCCTGGCTGCTATGCACGTGTTCACCAAATCTCCTTAACTATTGGAACTATTAACTTAGAACTATTTCCATTAAGACTCAAAAAGCCAAGAAAACATCCCATGTAAAGGGCACGAGCCCTGCCCTCCTTCTGTGTCTAACAGCACTTTAGGTGGTTGCAGGCTTCCTGACTCGGAATTAAAAATAGAACTATATCCTCCATGCAGGGGGAATGGGGTAAATAAACTAGCATGAAACAATTTCCAAAGGACTCAGACAAACAAAGCTGCTGGGGGCACTCTCAGATAGGGTGTGGGAGCTCATTTTATCTTTCGGATCGAGGGGAAATCAGGAGAGGCAAAGGTGAGAGAACAAAGTATTCTTAGTAGGAGTCTCCAGGCTGGACTGGAACAATGGTGATACTTGGTCATGATCCTCAGAGCATCTTTCTCCCATTTGTAAAGGATGAAGATTTAGCCCCTACCTGTCCATCCCAAGATAACTTTGTTTAGTGTGGTACTGGGTGCAGGAGCCTTGTGAGCTATGGGTTGTCTGAAATCTATTCGCAGAAGGACTACTCAATTGAAAGAGCTCATATATAGTCCTGACAGCTTCCAGACTGCGACCATGTGGTTTCCATTACCACTCTTCTCTCCGAGTAAGAGAGAGCCGGCCACCTCGGGATGGATGGCTTCTGTAGAGGCTCAAAATGATCATGTGCTATGCATGTACTAACAGGAGACAGGAGGTGACTGAACAGTCCTCAGGTGGAGAAGAAAGGGAAGGAATAGGAAACCAGAAAGAATGCTTTTAGCTTCATGTCGCCTTTAAAGAAAATCTAAGCAATCTGAAAGCAGACCTTCACAAACACCTGACTCGCACAAACCCGCACGTAATTAAAAACCACAGTTTGGGGGGCTAAGGCTCTGTTTTAAAACATGAGTAGCATTCCTTGATACTAGAGATGTTCTGGGAGTTCTGACTGATTATATGGGGATTATCTTCAGGCTTCCTTTGTCCTTGTCTGTTTGTGACATCCAGACCGTACTTTCCAAATGCTACCCGTGACTCTGCTCCTAGCTCTGGGGTTGCTGAAATCGGGTGAAAGCTTCAAGGGAAATTATAAAAAGCAAATTAATGAGAGAACTCACTTTCAGGCCTCATTTTCTCTATGATTTAATAAAAGCACCACTTAAAAACAATAACTGCAGGAAATGATATTTCCCAAGATTATTTTAAGGTTAATTTCCTCTTCCATTAACTGTTTAGAACAGTGGAGTCAATGCATTCAATCATTTCTGCCATTCTTTCCCAACTGGCCTGAAGAGACACTTTAAATAGAAAATTACATTATAAATTTCTAAGAGGTGCAGTTATTTAAATCCCACTTCAACTTTATTTTATAAAGATTGAATGAAGAAAATTCAAAGAGGATGTTCATACATGAGCAGTGTGAGACTATCTAAATATCGAAATATATATTATGCTAAAAAAATGAAAAAGAAAAATTGAGCAACAGTAAATTTTTCCTAATTTTAAAACTAATAGCTAAATAGAAATTCTTCATGAGTTGCTTCAAATATTTGAATACTTTATTACTTGGGGTCCAAATAGTTTAGTGTTTGTAACTATTGCCAGCTTAAGTTTATATAGCTTTATTCTATTATATTAATATTTGGTTACTATATTAACCAAGATATACTGAGGTTTTGGATCCATTGAAATATATACATATATGTATACATAAAATAATTGGAGTTATATCTGTTTATGAGTGCATACCATACGTGTATATGTAAGATGCATAAATACCGCATCTATTTTAAATACATTGATAAATATACTGAAATATTGTACTGATATTGAAATATGGCTATCTAGCAATGTTTATGCTGACTGTATTTCACTCAGGAAAAACCTTGTTAGGCAGCAGCGAGTAGCATCTGAAGGGCTCTAGGGAGGATGAGCCAACCACCGGATACATCCATCACAGTCAACACCTGATTCCCACCCCTTAGACAGAGAACTGTGTTGGCGTTCCTCACCACACAGCTCATACTGACCACAGGAACAGTCATAACAGTTGGTTAGCACGTCTGTGTGAGTCTGTGTGGTTCTGCTCTGTGCTGCAGACAAGAGGCCTGAGAAGCAGGCCACACAAGTATGCTGTGCAGGTTCCCCCAGCAGGTCACCCACACCTCTCTTCTGGTGAAATGTGGTGCTCCCAAAGCCTTACCACAATGTAGGAGACCGGAAAGAAAGATGTCACTAATTGTTTCCTAAATGGCAGTTTATTTCAATACTCACATACAACGGAAGGAGGCAAACTATTTACACAAAACGTCAAGTACAAAAAATATAATACAATTTATCTGTACATAATTATGATTCTCTTAGTTTCCATAAAATGTTGGTAGAGAGATGACGAGCAGGGTTGGGAGGGGCTTCTAGGAAGGAAATACTATGCTCTTGGCAATACGCAGGACCATTTTATGACTTCATTGCTAAGAGATGAAGAAGGTGGAGACATAGATACTGGGACTGAGCCTAGGGCGGTGACACAAGGTGACATTTCCACTGCTGTAATAAGAGTAAGTTTCACCTTAGTAATATGTTTGGTTAGACAGGTGTGAGTTGGTTTTGGCTGATTTTTGGGACATTCATAATTGGTTCAGTAACAGACAGAATGAGTTCCCTGCCTGGGTTGACACAATTAGGGTCTTAAATTGATTTCTGCAAACAAGATCTCTGCCAGGTGTCATTAAGCAACAATTGGAGGCAAGGATGGCCAGCTCTGAGGGAGAACATAAACTAGTGTGTCCGTGAGTGAAACAAAGAGACTATGACTGCAGGAAACTTCCTGTCTGTGCCCGTGTCTACTGAGAGTCCAGGGGAAATGCCGACAGCCAAACAGAAGGACTGAGTAGTGTGGGTTGTCCATCGTCTGAGGGAGAAAACAGCCACTAGCCAGGTGCGTCGCCACCAGACCCAAGTGGTGTTTTCTCAGGGAACTGATGGAGAAATGCAGACCGACTTCACTCTTGAAATGGCTCTGTAGTAACTAACATAGACTGCCTTTGACGTTTAAATCCTAAGACCTGTAACAGTCTGCAAGTTTACCAAAGGCTGAAGTTGGCCGAGAAGAAATTGCCATGAATGGGAAATGAGACAATCCCAAACAGTTTTGTTTGGTTTTACAGATCAGGCAAGGGGGCATAGCAGGTGCAAAGTCGATCAAGTCGGGTAGCACAGGCTTTGGTGACACATTTGCAGAATCTTACACTGGGACAAGCTGGTGCGTCTTATTGACAGATGAGGTGAGCATCATGGGGAGTCAGGGGCCGGAGGCCACCACTGTGCATGCTTTTCAGATCTCGAAACTGGATGACAGTCCCCAGTCACCGTGTAGGAGATAAGCGGTCAACTTGACATAGAAGACACGGCTAACATTTTAAACCCAAGTGGAAAGTATCAGGTTCATTAAATTTTTGAGCAGTTCTGATATTAGAGTTGGAAATGAAAACAGCCCATGTAACATTGCTGTTGGTTCCCTTCCACACTGTGGCCCTGCTGGTCACCTGTAGCTGTTCGCCTGATCCTGTGACTCTCCTGAAGAGCACAGGAAACAAACGTGACTTCTACATACACCGAGTGAGTGCACTTTCCTGCCACAGGACAGGATCTGGCAGGTTTCCATAAAGATTTAAAAACTAAAGCAACGGTCTTCTTGCAGGCTGGTATAGGGTCGCCTCATCTGGGCACCCCCTTGATCCTATTCAGAGAGCAAAACCACACCGGGACATAGGACTTTTCTCTCTCATTTTCTGTTCCTGAGTTCAAAGAGACACACAAGAGTACTTTTCCTCAAAGTGTACACAACCAAGCCCTTGGCTTCTGAGTGGAACAATCGATAACCAGGAGGAACAGCACAGAGGTTTTAAAAGGCACTGGCGACCTTGGAAGGAAAGCCAGTCAGCCAATCAGCTGCAGATAACAGGCCTCCTTTAGTGTCCTGACGGAAGCACAGATTCTGTTTACCAGAGCCAAGGCTTGGCTTGCTTTCTGCTTGTATTTATCTAACATTGGAATCATCCAGTATCAAATTACCAAGAAACTGGAAAAGATAAGGATTATGGCTGACCTACTGGCCTTAGGTTCTTGACTGATTATGAGGGGTTGGGAATTTTCCTGCCAGGCTTACATATTAGTGATTTCCATCTCCGATTTTCTCTTTCTGATCCAATAGTACCCTTGAATAGTTTAGTTACCTGTACAATGTCCCACCAGGAAAGCCTGCCTGCGTGGGGGCAGAGCTGCTATAGCTGTGGTCATGGAGAATAAGCTTAGATGGTGGAATGTCAGCTTTCAGTGAGATCACGTTTTGGGGCTGGGTTCTCATTATTAACTATACCAATTGTAACAGCTTCAGATTTGGTGTTAAGGAGGCGGCACAGTCTTTGCAATATGAACTATTCAAAGGACGCGTTTCCATCCCTGATGCTCCAATAACATGGATCAACATTCTGATAATGCAACATTACAGTGTAAATGCAACTTCAATGTAAGCTCATGAGGAAGAGTGAGTTTTGCAAGTTCTGTCAATAGTTCAACATTGTATGTTATCTACAGGGTTTCGGTTTCCCAAAGAAACAGCGGCAAACTGGAAAGCAACACATTTCCTTTTTTTCATGAGACTATCCTCAGATACAACCTGAAGGCCTTAGCTTGCTATTTATAGAGCTTTGAAATCTCCTTCCATCATTTTAATTAATGATAACAATAACAAATGAAAAGATAAGCTAGAGAGATAGATGATCCCTAGGCTCTGAGCATTAATCTCTCACACAATATTTTCTGGGCTGCATCTTTTAGGTCAATGAGACCATTAACTTAGGTTTCCCCATTTCACATGCATTTCTCAAAGAAGCGGAGTACTCACTATGTCCTTTAGTATTTGATAATAGATAATATCAAATACCCATGGCTAGTAGCAGGTTTTAAAATATTGACAATGATGTATCAACATAAATCTCTATATGCTCCATAAAGTTCTAAAGGTGTAGGAATGTACCGATGAGCTCAGCATGTCTAATACCATCTTTGGACTCTAGGAGAACAGAGACTTTGCAAAGGCTACTGTTCTGAGACCTCCATGGAAAGCAATTTCTGGGGCTCTGAGACTCAGGCTTAAACTGCCACTTGAAAAAGAGGTTGATCTGATGCTGACAGAGTTCATTATATTGCCCACTGGTAAATGGTGTCTTGTATTTCTGGTTGAGGTTCCCAAACTATCATTTGAGATGGTAGTGCTGAACTTAGTGGACCCCAAAGTGTGACTTAAAACATGAAAGACTCACTGAAGAGTCTAGGATACCTCAAAGTTAAGAAAGTTCATGTCTCTGTAGAACAATTGATAAGGAATTTTGGCTTAGCCTATTGAGGAACTATTTGTGGCTTATTCTAAATGCAAGAAAATTCAGCAACGAAACATGAGGGTATATGCGAATTCATATGCCAGCAGACTGTATTTTGACAAAATGACCAAATGCAAACCTAATGCGTGTTTAGAATAACATCATTTTAGGCATTCTATCACACAATAACATGACTCTTAAGGGGAATCCTCTTTGATGAAAAATTGTCCACAGTATTGAAAGCAAGAGTCATGTGGGAGATTTGCTGGCACGGGTGTCAGAGTTGGCCATTTCCATCCCTTTATAGATAAGTAAGGAGGCAACAATGCCCTTGACTAAGACTCATGCACTCAGGAAGTATGATTATAGAAGAGTCCAAATGTCAGGATCACAGTATCTGGTTGTGGGCCAGCTCCCTGCCAGGGCCTATGCAGCATATTCAATAGAGAGTGACATAACCTTCGCCTTTGCATCTCACATGCCATACCTGTTTCTTTTTTTATTGATTTTTATTGAGCTCTACATTTTTCTCTGCTCCCGTTTCCTTATTCTTCAGTATCAACTGTGAGTCAATAGCGTCCCCACTGGACTATGTGAATTGGTCCTTCTTAGTGACAGAAGCATCTCAGCTGCAGACATTTACTGCTTATGACTTGTCTTCAATTCCTTTAGTGTCTCTGAAATTCCACTATGGGCATAAGAAACTGACTTCACTTCCATCAAAGTCAATGTTAATTCTAAGAAGAATCTACTTTCATGTGTGTTTTGATGTATCCAACAGAACCAGAGATGCTTGGGTACCATGAGTAAGTTTTAAGAGGCAGTGCCATAAACATGCCTAGCTTGAGTTGGGAAGTTTTGAAGAAAAAGCCTAGAACTATGATGACAGAGGCTTGTGTGTGTGTGTGTGTGTGTGTGTGTGTGTGTAGCATAGTTTCACCAAATGTCCCAGAGTTCCTTAGAACTCACTGAGTTAACTTCAGTCAGTGGTGACAGAGCCCTCAGTTCCAAAAAAGTCCCCAGGGTATTTGCAAATGTCTAAGACTGTGCTGTGTGCAAAGATTCTATTCTTCTTTCTGCAGAATGTCAGCACTTAGCAGGATTGATGATGGTCTAATCAGAGGGAGGACCATAAACAACATCGGAACCAACTTCCAAAGTATGTAAGCATGCAACTGAAGCCAGATTCTTAACGAAAACCAGCCGAACTTGAACCCTAACGATAGAAAATAGGTTGATTAATGTCATTTGACAACAGGTTCGGCCAGATGTGGCTTAAAAATATGAATTCTTCCATGTGTTTCTCGCATCGAAGGTCAAAAGGAAGCAAGGAAAGAATGAAGGAATTAAGGAAGGCAAGAAGGGCTGGAGGGAGAGATGCAGCAGAGAGGAGGGAAGGAAACGAGAAAGCCAGTCTGGAATTTAAACTATGACCCACAGGTTGCCGCCTAATCCCAAACAAACAGTCCCAGGTAGAGCAGATCTACTCTGACAAGGAGGTTCCAAAGTGGATGGCATATCCTCTGCACATGTGTGATAGGCTAATGAGAGTCTGGAAAATGGCATTCAGCAGTAGAGTTCCAGAAAAACAGTCATGGGGAGATGAAAACAGAATACAGCCCATGGTGTTCCTAAGCAATTCTTCCAACTGTTTGGCCAAATCAGAGCAGAGGCCTGGTGTTGGGGGGTAGAGATTTGAATAGAGAACAGGGGAGCCAAACACGAGGCCTTAGAAAGTCATTACTAATGTCAGAAGACTGTCTTCTTTTGAATATGAGAATTCTGGGGTGGGGTTGCTATATCAAATGGATAAAGACCAGATTGGAGTTCACTTAGAAAGCATTTCCTATCAAGTTTAGCGACAAGTTCTTGAAATATTTGCAACATCCTTCCCAGGGGAAAGAAAATGACCTTTCAAGCTAGGGAAATATTCAAGAAGCGAGCTTATTTTTAAAACAAGAAAATTTAGTGCTATACCAAGAGGATTTATTCTTTTCTTAAAAGAAAGTAATGAGATGAATTCAGGCATCGAATGAAATCCACCCTAGAGACAACAAATAAATCACCCTACACATCTATCTGTTGAGTGTGGATTTTAAAAACGTGTGTGCAACGGAGGCTGCATCCGCTGTAGAAGTGCGAGAAATGCCACACAGCGTCCCACTGGGATTTTCCCATCTGCCATTTCTTTGCAACCTGACACATCTAAGTCCCAGAGCTCATCTGCTGCCTTAATTTCAATCTTAACATTGAGTTATGTCTGAAAAATGTGTTTATATGAGACTAATTTGTGATTAAACATAGATTCTTTTTTTGAGGAACATTTTCTGAGATTGCTTTTTTATATTTGATAGGGGAAAACACACTCATAAAACCCTGTAATCTCTCCTCCCCGTGCTATACATTTGCATAGACATGAAAGTTTATTCTCTCGTAAGAACACATATGAATGCCTACTCGGGTCTTTGCCATAGTGACCAGGGGCACAAACTATTTTGTCTTTGCTTTTCAAAAGCATTAAATCAATACCCATATACTCTGTATCAGCTGTTAATAAGCCTCCTTTACTCCTCTGAGGACCTTGGGAATGGTCTTACAACAGTCCCCGATGACTGAGAGCAGAGGGGTCACTAGAGGCCCGTAACTAGTGTCTGTCACCTCTCAAGGTACATCTTGACCACTACTGCCTCGGGGCAGAAGTGGGACCAGCTAGGCCGGATGCACAGGAAGACAGCACTGATGTAAAGATGCCAGCGCCTCTGCTTCCTCCAGACTGGGGACAACAGGGACGAACAAGGGGACCATGGAACTGGATTGTCAGTCCAGTGTGATGGTGCTGAGGTCCAGGGGGAACAGCTTTAGACACCTTTAATGCTCTTGATAGGGGCCCATTGATGTACATTAAACACATCAAAGATGCTGAATACAAAAAAATGTTTGTCAATAAACATCAGTTCACTCAACACTGCATAACACGGAAAAATAAAGAGAGGCTTTCCATTACAGTTTGGTACTTTCAATGTTTTCCATAACTGGCATCATAATGCTGAAGAATTTTTTCGCAGGGAGGGAGAGAGGGGCATGGTGTCTACCCCAATGCTAAGACTGGCTCTTCGGCACATTCCCACTGCCCAGGCAGGTGGGCCTGCAGGCCTATAGCATGGCAAGGAGCTCCCTGGAATGACACGGAATCCGGAAGTCAGAGTAAGGCTAGTTTCGCTGCAAACTGCAGAACACTGCTGTGTGTCTTGCTGTCTGTTCTCTGTTTCATGTGTTCGCTGCACAGTGATGACAGTCAGTTTCCCAGACCACAGCAAGGGGTCTCAAGGGGTCTCAGTGGACCACAACTCGACAGGTCCAGGGCAGGCAGAATCCCTGGTCTTTCCTGGGCAGGAATCACTCCAAGTGCAAGCAAGCTCTTTCCAAGAACCCACAGAGTAACCCAGGTTGGGAGAGTTGGCCATAGTCATATCTTCATTCTTTGAATTAACAATGGACCTTGTGAGGGAAGGGATCTCACAGACAAAGTGCCTGGCTTTTTGTTGTTTGTTTGTTTGTTTTCAAGTTAAAACATCATGAAGCCCTACACTCGAAAGCATGAAGATGCTACATTTCTGAAGACACTTTCTAACGTGGTTGGCACATTTACGAAATTAAACTCATGAAACAAGAGACCAGTTAGAGTCTGGGAGCAGCACAATGCGAAACTTCACAGCATGGCTCACTTAGCAACAGTCAAATGTTCGCTGCGGACCAGACGGCCTCAACCCAACACGGAGGTGCCTCAGGGTGTGCGTCTTTTGTAGCGATGGGAAAGTCCTGACTTGAAATGCACTTGAAATGGATCCACACTTCATCTCTGAAGCCTCAGAAATAAGGGCAGTCATGGAGCACGGCTTTGAGAAGCAGAGCGTTTCCAAGGAGCCAGAAGCGTTAAGAGCTGCTAGTACTCGTCATAGTTGTTGAGATCTGTAAAGTAGGCATTGGAATAGGTCTTCCCAGTGAGATGGGGGCTGAAGTATTTGTTTCTCTCCTCTAGGATCAAGTTGTTTTTGTTAAATGCCTGTAAAATATGTTTGAAAAGATTTAGAGCATTCAGTAAGTGATGTTTCCAATAGAATAAAATCGGGAGATGCTGGGCTGAACTGGAGCTCTCTCTGAAGGCTCTATTAGTTTGGAAAGTGTCTGCTCATTTACTGGCTCCTCAGCTCATTTGCCTCAAGGAAGACTTGGCTAATAATGGTCGGCTGTCTTCAGAAGTATCTGGCCTACTTTAGCACTTTAATCAGGAAGGAACTGAGGGAGACAGGACCAGAAATCCAAAGTCGGAATTTCTAGAAAACCTCTAAGACTCATGCAAATTTATAGACACTGACAATTATTTTCCATACATGGGGATACACTAATATGTGTCTAGACTTCCATAAAGAGCTACATTTAATGTGTTATTTTTACAAATTCTTTGAGAAATTTATAAATTTATTTTAATTATATTCACATTCCATCCCTTTCTATTCTCCTCTCAGACCCATTCATACTTCCCAAGCCCTCACCTTAATATCACATTTTTAATTGTTTAAACAGATAATCCAGTGGCCACAGTTTATGCTGCCTATATACCCGTGGGTGTGGGGCCATCCGCTGGAGTATGGAGGATGGTCACACCCTTAGAGAAATCAGTCTTCCTCCCCCCCAGAGCTCATCAGCTTTTATCAAGACTTTATAGAACTTCTCTAAGCAAGGGTATCTGACTCAAACACCTGAGTCAATTTTCAGTCTGCGCTCATTACAAGGTGTCCACTGTGCCCATCTGTGGCACAGATGCCCCCCATTGACAGTCATTAATGGCACATGCAACGTCAAAGAGATAAATTATACATATTCTGTTTTTTATAAATTATGGATTTCATTGTATTCTTTTTCAAAGACTTTACTTTGGAAAATTGTATAAAATTAAAAACTGACACAATGAAGTATGTTATCTGTTCTCCCATTTCCCACCCTAACTCCTCTCACATCACCCCAACATTTCTCTCTCCCAGCTTTATGTTTGATTTTTAATAACCGACTATGTCTGGTTAACACTGTCCATATGCTCACGGATGTGGGAATGTCCATGGGAGCATGAAAAACCCACCATGGACCATATCCTCAGTAAAGAGTGATTCTCTCTTCCACACCAACAACCCACTACCAGTTGCTCCTCAGGACAAGGTAGGACCCTGAGATCATCTACGCCCTATCTATGCCATGATCTCGTGCAGGTAGGCACAGACGATTACGGAAGATAGCCACATGGCAGCCAGAAGACATTATTTTGCAGTATTTCTCCCTGTCCTCCGCCCCATGCCAGAACGATCCCTGATCCTTCATGTGGTGCATGACACATATTCTTATAAAAGAGGATGTTCCAAAGTTAGCTTTCATGGCAGGGAGCGAGGTTATGCCAATGTTCACTAAATAGGTTATGGGAAACAACTAACTCAACAGGAACACAGAAGCCTAGTCAGTCTTTGCCTAGGAGACGTCCCTTCGTGAGTGGAGACGATAACAGAAGATGGTGCAGCAGATGAAGCCCCTGAGTCTTTAAAGGCAAACACCGGCTTCTCGTACAAACACGGGAAGAACAGAAGCTATTGTGCTGACTCTTGAGGAAGGTCATCGAAACCTCAGAACGACATAGAGCTATGAACTATCATATCCATTTTATAAAGCAGGACACTGAGGACGAAGGAAACTCAGGTCTTCCTGAGATAGACATGGACACCTGAGTGTCATAATGTGGACTTTATATCACTGCTCATTTCATTTGGCTCTAGGCTGGAGGTTTTTGCTGGAAGACCTCTCTTCAAAGACCAAAAAGCACATATGAGGCATAACTGGACATGGTTCAAGACTTTCTATTCCCAGAATTTTATATATCATTGCTTTTGTTTTCAAACTCTTATTTCCATTAAGGGTAGGCAAATGAGAAAAACGAATCTCCAAAGACTCTCCGCCTCCAAGAGTATCCAGCCATATACTTGTAGACTTCCTACAACTACCACAGTGGATCTACCAACACCTACAGACTATCCACACTCCCCAGTGATCACCCAAAGGTCTGGGGTACCCCGACTCTGTCCATCACCAGTACTGCCACCACTGAACCTTGCTGGCAGCCGCAGCACCACCTAGCTGCCTTTGTGGCCTACCTGGCTATAGCCGTCAGTGCCCATTCCTTACCTTGATGGCCTCCACTGAATCATATTTCTCCAGTTTGTTGATATGGTTGGTTATGCTGCTGTTGAGAGCAGCAGGGGAGACAGGGTGGATGACAGTTGCATCATGGGACTGCTGCTGGTACCGCTGGCAGTAGGTGTAGACGAGCAGGGTAAGGAGGCAGCCGAGGATAGAACTGCTGAGTCCCACGGCCATCATGTGGAACATGTTGAACTCTGTGAAACAGGGCCAGTGTCATACTGTGCCTAGGAAGAACATGCTACCAGATCCTCAAAATGCCTGACTGAAAGGAAAGATGAACGGAGGTGCTGCGTACTCCAAGGTACAGATGTCACAGTAGCTTTGTTCTTGGAAATGTCAGGGCCATGTAAAAACGTCTCCACACTGAGCAACCTAGTTCAATTTGTGTTCTTATGGATTACAATCATTTCCTCAAATGCCTTGAACATTGTTAGGATTATATCTGAAACACATTTGCTTTCCTCTGGAGGTCCCAGAGAGCCTTCAAGAACACAGTGACCCCTGGCCTGTGGGTTTCCTGTTGGTGTGTCTATCGACCTTACCAGACTGAGCATCCATCTATCCAACATGGCTGCAGCCTACGAAGGGAGAATTCACTTGGGGCTCTCAGTTGCTCTACTCCTATAAGCCAGGCTGTTTCTTACTCCCTGTTTTATTTTATTCAAATTGTTTCCTATTTACATGAATTCTGCTATTAATAGTATTTTTGTAGATACAAATTTTGTTCAATAAGAGAAATTTTTGAGGATTACAAAGGAAATGGAAGTCACTCTTCTTTCTCTAGTTTTGGCTGTGTCTTTCTAGAGATGACGCACAGACTTATTCTCTCCCTCCTTCCCTCCCTCCCTCCCTCTCTCCCTACCTCCCTTCTTCTCTCCCTCCATCTCTCTAATTTGTATGTTAGCCTGTGGACCACTTTTTCTAACTTGCATTTAGTGATCTTATAAAAAGTGTCTTACTCTAAGAAATAAAGGATTTGTGCTAAAGGTACTCAATATAATCTTGAAGCTGGACATGAATAATTCTCTTTTCACTCATTGTTGTCTATTTAATAGGCATTAATTCTCTTTGAATTTTTTCACAAGTTATGAGTAACAGATATTTAAAAGGTGAGCTGCAACGATGGGTCTAGAGAACAGGAAAGGTTTGATTGGCATCCTGGCAATGCATCAAGAGCTACGGAATGCCTAAGAAACAACCATCTGGAAACCTCCATATTTGTTGGGAAAACACTGCTGTTGAAGTTCTCAACCTTCCTGCAGGGCTCAGAGCAGAGATAAATGAGAGTCATGTGAGGCAGCAGGTAGCCTCCTTTCTCCTACCCTGTACTGGGCCTTGAGGATTAACTTTGTTCAGGTAATTAACCTCACATTCCCAAAGCTCAGGGAGCATCCATAGGACCCCCTCGCTGTCTCCCCGTGTGTTACCAGGAAATGCAATGTCATCCAGTGGTTTTCTACAGTCTGTCAACTTCAGAGCCAAGAGGGAGAGTGGTGGAGCTACTGAGCTCAGTGTGGACATGGAGTGACATCCTTCACTGTAGAGGAAGCCCTTGGGAGTACTAGCAGAGACAAGCAGATCTGTCTGCAATCTCCAGGACCTGAGATGTTTATAACTGACCCCTCACTGACCCTCCACCTCTCTCTGTGCTCTGTGCCTGGTTCATGACACTTACAACTCAGCAGAAGCTCCACCTTAGCACCAGGCCAGCTCTGACACTTGTCAAAAGATCACTTGCTAATCTTTACCAATGGACACTAGAACCAGGGTCTTAAGGTTCTATTAGAATCCCAGGTCAAGAAACCCAGGGGAAGCTGAGCATCAGAATATGAGACATGCCATCAGGGCCTGACCTATGTGAAGCTGAACATCACAATTTGAGAGATACCATCAGGGCCTGAGCTGTGTGACACATGGTAGAAGCTGGAGATCTCTCACATGCCCTCTGATTCAGAGTTTTCTCCTGTCCCGTGCATCTGTCTCCTCCTGGACATGATTCTAAGAATGCCGATCCCTGAAAGACTGACCTCCTTCCCTGGGTTCACCGTCAGCAATGATCAATGTACACTCATAAATGCACCGAGTCTCTGAACAGATAGTGACATTTCTACCACAGAAGCACTACTGGCTGGATAACCTACTGAGAACATTCTACAAGACTGTCTGACAACTGAGAGACGAATCATCTCAATTCTTCACTCCTAGCTTATTTGTTCAATGGTAAGATCGTAGAGGGAGGTTACAAGCCTCGGGTGTTTCCTGCTTTTTCATAGAGACCATGATGGTACAGGGCTCTCATCATGTGACTATGGCATAAAGCATTCTGCACCCTTTCCACCAACAAACACTGGAATTATGCTATTTTTACTGCAGATGGAGGCTGCAGTGGTGATAAGTAAGGCTGATTTCTCTTGCGCTCTTGTGTTTCTCTATTTTAGCTATGAGGACGCCCCTGAGTCAGTGCCACACACTGATAAAAATACTTCCTACTGCACTGATAACTCATATTTCATTGCTGCATATGGAAGATGTACAATGGTCTCCGTATGCAGATGTGTGTCATTAGTCATATAAATTATTCCTGCAGGTGCCCGGGGAAGTTGTGGCCAGCTGACATCTTTATGACAAGATTATTCAGTCTTTGTGTCTCCTGAAACTAAAAATAGCTAAGCTGAAAGATTTCCATAGGAGCACATTCCCTGCAAAGGGAAAAATAGTGCCTACTAAATCTCCCGGGGTTCTGTACACTGTCGCTCCTCCTTAAATATATGCATTGTCTTTTTAACATTTACTTTTTGTGTGTGTGTGCGCGTGTGTGTGTCTATGTCTGTGTGCATGTGTGCATGCTCATACATATGTGCAGGTAGCATGGCATGTATATGGAGGTCAAACAACAACTTCAGAAGTCAGTTTTCTTTTTTCACTACACAGGACCTTGAGATGGAGGTCAGGTCATTAGTCTTGGTGGAAGACATGTTCTCCTACTAATTCTGCTATTAACTTATTTTTTCTTGGTTTTTGAACAATAAAGCTAGAATAGAGATCAAACACCCAGTTGGTTCAGTTGAATAGCTTTCTGTACAACATTTGATTGATTTGTAATCAATAGAGATAAGACATCTACGTTTCTCTATACTTGCAAACATTCATGCTATATAATCAGCTATGCTAAACCCATCAGCTATAGCCTGAGATCCTGATGCTGACCAAGAGTATGACCCAGACATGGCTGCTGCAGAATCTTCCCATGCATCTCCCAGGGATCTACTGGGTCCCCTTTCTTGGGATGTTTTCAGTGTAAAACCCCTGCTGCATTCATTTGCCAGGATGCTATCCTTGAATCCCCTACTCATGACCTGTCTGGATCTGAGCCCTATATCATTGAGTTCCATCATTCTTACCCAGACAATGCAGATTAAAATGGATGCTTAGGATTTTTTTTAGCACAATGGCCAATATAAAATCTCCGAAAACTGTTATTCTTCACTTATATGACAGCAAAATGTGACGAGCTGACTGCTTTGGCTCAATATGATGACAGCATCACTAGAGAGGCTAGCTCTGGACAGGACCAGTGCTCAAGGAGTTGAGAGGTCTTAGCACATGTCCTAAGCCTCCCATCTAGGATCAGAAATTACTGATGTCCAAAACCTGTCCCACACAGGCAGCTGGAGATGGTGGCAGCTTTGTGAGATGCTGATAGGACACATCTGGCTCTAGAAGCATTTAGTGGTGTGTCTGCATATCATGACCCATCTACTCAGGGACTTCGCTGTCCAGCCCCCGCATATCCAACAGCAGAGCACCCTGGGAAAAGAGAGGTTTCAGTATGTCTGAGTTCCATCAAGAGCTCGCTCTACTGAGAAGGAGAACTCACCTCCACACCTTTTCTCTCCCACACTACTGGATCTCGCCACAGACACTTCTGGAAAAACAGAAAATGCAATCACTATGTACAAATGAGTTGGGAGAACAGTTCATATCCATGCTTCATTTACAAACACTAATGATTTTGAGTTCAATATGAATCTAAGGTTCAAAAGCTTCGTTAATTATCAAAAGCATTGACTGTTTCTTTGTTTTAGTAAACCTGAGGTGGATTTGGCTTTGTTACCCTGAGCAGGAGGGTATGGTATTCAGTACCAAAGAAGAAAATGCCACGGTTCCTCAGACTTGAAACAAGCACAAGTATTGATTTCTGCTATGGCATGTCCCATCCTAGGGAACCCCGATCACGTTGTCCTGTATTGTTTCTCTAGTGTTGCATTCTTTATGAACTCAAAGCTGAACCATGAGCTCAAGGAAAACTCTACTCCAATGCCAAGGTACCTCCTTCCTGTGCCACGTGTGAAACTGACAAGCAGGACATGAAGGAAATGGCAGTCTTCTGAGTGTGGTGACACTCCAGGGGCTTGGAAACACCAGACTCTCCCACAGGGATTTTTTCCATCAGACAACAAAGACTGAAAGTATGCTGAACACAAAGTAGCATCGCTTGTAGCTTGTATGTGACTGAGACGCCTTCTAAGGGTAATGCTAAAGCTAACAGTTCTGTGTAAAAAGAAACGAATAAACTGTGCTTCTATAATTTAATCCCATTATTTCTTCCCACTAGTTTGGTCTTGGCTTTAGTCCCCACAGATGAAGGGAGGTTGTATTAAGGGCTTTATACATAAGCAGAATATCACCGTACAGGGTCATTGTAATAACTGATGGTCCCCTGTGATAACTAAATGTTGATTCCTCATTTTAAAAAAGGCTGTAGCAAGAGGAACCTGTAACCTGTTTTTCAAGGCAATATTAATGACAGGCATCCATGTTCCCTAGTATATTGAGAGTTACGTGAAGACAATGACCACGTTCACTGTGCAGACACACACAAAACATTGCCATGGTAAAGTATTTATGCTGATATTAAAACAAGCAATCAGTTTTCAGTTTTTGTAGTGAAATCCTCATGCTCCATTAGCATCAATAAATTATATAAGACATCGTGCTAAATTCCAGTCTAAATCTGCAGTTACGTGTGAATCTATATTCCAGTCACCTTGAAACCACAACAGTAGACAGAATCATTTTCAATTCAACAAAGGCAGCCTCAAAGAGCAGATAAAAGACTGACCCAATGGGTCATTTCCTCTCTGGATATTGGAATGACTCTGTTGACACTGATAAACATCTCTGCCCTTACCTGGGATGAAATTAGAGTCAAACACACATGGCCGGCTCTCTGTGGTGTTTCCGGAACACTGGCTGCCCACAGGAAACAGAAGAACACACTGCCGAGCACGGACTTGGACGCCGGAGGCATCACACGCAGACCAGTCGGACCACTCCGACCAGCTCTCTACAGAGACCAGGAGAGGGGGAGAGGCAGGGTTACCTGATGACAGCCACCAATCACGGTCAAGTCACACTGGACTTTGGGCATTCACACTGTGTTTTTAATGACTCTATGCATAAATAAGATGTGGCCATAACTTTGTGCCAATCCAGTAAATAAATCCACACAAGGATGAGTAAAAGTGCTAAAAATTTCAATCAGATATAATGTATTTAAAGTAAGTGTTCCAAGTCCCGTATCATTTCAATTCTATGAACAATTTTATTTAACAGTCAGTAAGCCAGTTCTTGAGACAAACAGGACATCTGGAGTCAGAAATCATCAGTGCTGACGCCTACAGAGCCAGCCCCCCTACAAAGAGACCCTCAGATTATAGCCCTGGTTCCCGAATGGAAGCTTAAAGCACCTTTCTTCTGCATCAAAACCAACTCTGCAAAGTCACCTAAGGTGGGCCAGTCAGGAGAGCTCGTTTCACATAAAACCTACTGAGAGGAATGAAGTCAGTTCCCACAGCCTTTGTCAGGACCAAAGGATGAGCAATGACAGAATGCTTCTGCCTGAAGGTGGATAAATTATTGGAATACTTTTCAATCCACTCAGGTGTACAGATATTCAGAAATAGGGATAAGACTCATATATTGAGTTAAGGTATGAACTCTCATTATTGATTCATCAATATAAGGAGGACATTTTCATATATATATATATACAGATATAAATAAACACACACATATATGTCTTATTATTACTTTTTACAACTCAGAAATCCTAGTTGTGCACTTATTCATACAAATGGAATGACTTTTTCTCTCAAAGACATAAAAGACTGAATTTTGGAATGATTATAATAATTTGGTTTGGAGGCCTTCTTAAATATAGGTGGGATTTTCTAGAAAGACCTGTGCATGCACTCCGATAAAGTGTTTCACTGTCAGAGTCAAGTGTAGAATGGTAACTCATTTCACCCCATCCTGTATGTCAGATTGCCTGGCTACCTCTCAGGTAAGGAGCTGTCTGAAACATCCTGCCTCAAGCACCGGCCCAGAGCTGCTTCGTTCACAGTCCTGAAAAGACTCATTTCCTAATGTCTCTGCTCCCTGTTCCTTGCTTTGCTTAGTTGAAAGTTGACTGGATTCCCTGCCTTATATTTTCTTTAATTGCACTGCCTTTGAGAACAGTCCTGGCCCTGAGTGAGGTGTCATCCCACGATGCCACTGCTCCCCCAGAACATTTCTGGCTCGTTCCAAGCATACAATGTGCTTGTGCTGGGACAGACTGTGAAAATGTGAAACAGGCCTCAGGCGAGTCTCTCTGCACACCAGGGTGGGGGCTCTACAAGTGTTCCTTGCTTTCCACTTCTCCCAATCTTTCTTCTCCAGCAAAGCCAGGTGCTTCCTGGGAGTCATCAGTGTTACTTAGGAAGGTCAAACATGATTTGGGGTATATTTCTTAGGCAGGTAGTATAGATGTTGTACCATGTATGCACTTTACCATTTGGAGTGAAGACAGAGCATAGTATGAAAGTGATTTTGCTGTAGAACGAAGTGTTGTTAAATAAATCAGAGGCAACAGTATGAGATTGACTTACAATCTTTGTCATCGTTCATAAATAAGAAAGGTGAGTTTGCATTGAAGCTATACAGTAACCTAGGCCTTGGGTACCTGGACAGGTCTGTGTATTGCAGAGCGCCTCCTCCGTGTGCAGTCCCAGGCAGATGTCCCCTCCGTAGGCTGGGGCTGGATTCGTACAAGAGCGCGTTCTCATGTAGTGTCCACCCCCGCAGGTTGCTGAGCATTTAGACCAGGATGACCAACAGGACCACATGCCATCCACTGGGAAAGGGTACAAAAACACAGCATGTCTGAAGTCCCCACCAGACCAATATGACACAGCTAGAGATTTTGCCACATAGAAGACAACGACACACACGGCAAGAAGCCACGGTGTGGGGACATGTGAGCTTTCCTACGTGATGGTAGATTCAAGCTTAAAGAATCCCTCCATAATCCCGGAACCCGCCTGCTTTCCAGTTCATTGCTTGGTTCTTCAGAAAATATTTCTCAACATATGATTTCTATGCACCAGCATGGAACACACATTCAATCCAGCACTGCACACACATTCAATCCAGCATGACACACATGTTCAATGCATGTGATGTGGAACTTCTTCTTCTGGAACCACGAATCATGTGCTATAGTAATTAATATGAGGCCCCTAGTCCATTCTCACCTTTGCTGGTTTTACTATCCACCTGGCTTGAAAAGACCTAAAGCTAAGAATCAATAGTTCAGGCAATGGACCTCCCTATAATTCACATCATTCTTGCCCAGGATTGGATTCTGCCCAGGGCTTGTATCACATTTAAAGTATCCTAAGTAAGACTGGTTTATGAAGCTTAGATCCTTATTTCTTCCAAGGAAAGAAAGCAATTAGTTACTGAGAACTATTTTTGTTGAAATGAAATGTATATATTAAATAGCTCAATGGACAAGGAGAGAAAAGCATTGCTCTTGTAACTGTGGTTACTGCTACAGTAAGATAAAAAGAGAATTCAGTTACCCACCATGAAGGAGGGCAAGATAAAGGTGCACGATTAACCCCTGAGTGCCAGTTACAGCGTGGGTGGCTATGGGGACAAAGTGGAACATTTACAGCCTGTCAGCTCACGGTAACATGTGTTGCCGGGACCTCTGCATGCTGAAGTCTGGACCTCACAGGTCAACACTGAGGAGCAGAGGGCTTTTGTCCTCTAAAGGGAAACTGAGAAGAAGTCTCTTGCGCTCTCTGTCTCCTTCGCTACCCTGTGGAGCTCCAAAAACACAAGGGTGTGGCAGACGGAAAGCGCAGAGTCCTCAGCAAACCACAGGTCTCTGCATTGTTCTCTGGAGGAGACACACCTGCCAGGGTCACAGGTTTGAGACCCTGTGCCCTTCCGTCATATTCCCAATGTTCCTTTTCCCTGGGCCTTGTTGTTTACAGAAGAAAGACAAATAGAACCTGCTGAGTTAAATTGGATCAAAAGAACTTATGTTTACCGCTCTCAGTTTTATGGGTGCCTAAGTACAACTCTAAGTCGCTTTCATCTTATGTGAATACACATAGCAACAAAGAACCATCTGTTGTCTCTAGCTTTGCCAGGCAAGGTCTCCAGCCTGGAGTCTTTCCTGCCGCATCGTATGTACCAGGAGAAAAAGTCAAGATCAGAAACAGTCATGCGTTCCTCAGGGTTGGGATAAATTATGCAGGAGCAAGTTCAAAAGGTGAAGGATAATCATTTTAGTATGTGCTTCACTTTATTAGTATTTGCTTGTGTTAGAGCCACAGACAGAACCAGAGCCTCCAGAATTTGAGATAAGCACTCAATGCTTAGACTAGGAAGCTGTTGTGTTCTGTTCTCTTACCCTCCTGAGATAGGGTCTCCCAATGAACCAGATCGCTTGGCTAGGCTCACTGGGGAGGGAGATCTTGGAAGCTGCCTGTTGCTGTTTTCAGTGTTGTTACAGGCGCATGCAGACATGCCCATTGCTGTGGATGCTGAGAATTCAAATGCAAATGCACATGCTTACATAGGAAGTGCTGTGACCCATTGATCCATTTGCAGTCTCTGACAACATTTTAAAAAGACAGTGCTTTTTGTATCTGACCTAGTATAGTTAAAAATATCAGTTTATGTGAAAGAATATGCTCTAAATCAGGTAAAAATTACCCCAAATATGGTTTTCCTTGGCCATATAGCTCAACCTGAACAGTGCAGGGAGGATTCCTAGAAACTCCTAGCTGAGTTACAGGTTATCACACTTTTAGAAATTTTAGGTCAGGTAGAAGAGAAAGTTGATGCTCATACATTCAACCTTGAATCTGACAGTCCCTTGTGCAAAGACATGAGCAATTCTACAAAGGAATCTTGGCTTTTAAAAGAAAATGAGGACAGAGCTATTTTAAGATATTCAGGTCATGTACACATAGTCCTGGCTCAACAACAAGTCAACAAAAATAAAATTGAAACTACCCACAGATGATGCTATCAGAGTGTCCTAAAGATGGTCAAGAACTATTTATCCTCAGGGACCAGGACCACATCCAAGCATCTCTCAGATTCCACATGAGCTACTAATGGACACAAGAAATTAAGTCAGGATTCTGGAGAAGGCAGGGTGATGGAGGGAACTTGGCATTCATATATCATTCCCCTTGGCTCCAGTTCACAGCCCTGATTCAAATCTGGTGCTATCGCCCACGCTGCCTCCAAGCACCCAGGGGAGGAATCTTTCTCCATGGGCTGTGGGAAAGAACAACTCCGTGACCTTTCCCAGCATCTCAGCATCAGTTTGGCTGGGAAAGCTGTGTGGTCTGCAGAGGAATAGCCTGAGGCTGAAGAAATTCAAGCATAGAGGCCTCATGGGAAGAGCACAGCTGTGGGAGCAAAGGCATCATTGAAAATCTCTGCTGCAGGTAAATGGAAGGAAATAGAAAAGGCCATGTGGAATGGTGTAACCCATACCTAGGAAAGCAACGCTGCATGGTGTCTTTTGTTTGATGTTCTTAGTTGCAAATTGTCAGTTGTGAGTATACACCTGGAATGACTACAGAAACCAAGAAAATCAAAAGAGACCATCGTGGAATGGTGGTGATGAGGAGCAATAGAAAGGGGAATCTAAATACAGGTGATCTGAGGGGAGCAGGAAAATGGGGATTTTCACTAGGGACAGGGGAGGGAGATGAATACAGAAAGAAGGTAAAATAATAGTAAGATGTCTGAAAAACACATAAGGAATCATAACTATTAGCCATATACCTACAAATATCTATGAGATATGTAAGTAAGTATACATATATGTAAATAAAAATCTCCTATATGTGCTGACAATGCTTCCCGTAAGAGTAAGGGACTATCCAACAGAAAACCAGCAATAGGCCTAGAAAGCCCTCTTTTGAATTGTTGTTCAAGTTGTCCAAGAGAATACCAAAACATTTCACATTTTTGTTGCCCCTGGTTGGCTTCCAGAGATGTGAGATAAGCCCTTATTTCTGAAAACACCCATTTATTCAGACACAGGGCTCACAGGACCTGAGCTGATATGACCCAAAAGTCTGCTCCCTGAGGACCAGTATTTTATGATACCCAGAAGGCACAATGAAAGTTTTCAAAGGAGACAAGCAACCAATAGTCATCCTATTCATCTATGATCTGTATGAACCATAAAGAACATAAAGATTCTAAAACCCTACAAGTACATCAGTGGTACACATTCTTAGACAGTTACCAACAGTTCTCTAATTAGATTTCAGGCAGTCTCAATAAGACAGAAATCATGCCTGGTATCGGAAAGCTAGTCAACCATGCAGGTCTGGTGAAGTCTCAGATCTTGGAAGGAGAGCACACGACTTCCACTTTACTAAACCAGCATAATTCCCAACTATATTCTAAATATTTATACATATAGTCATAGATAAGTGTAGTTCCTTTCTCAAGGAAATTTCTCCTTGTAATAGACAGACACTAGTATAGAAAAATCACAAGAGATCAAAATACAGAGGTGTACAGCTCAGTCATAATGGATAACATCCACACATAGCTATGCAGGTTCAGATACAATCGTGAAAGAGAAGCAGCAGGAAGGTAAATATGAGATCGGAGATTAAGTGTCTCTTAATAATGTCATAAACTATGTCCATAAAATCTCAACATCATGACTGTCTAACTATGACCTGAATGAGGATAACATTATTTTTAATGGGGAAGGAGGAACACTCAGGAGTCCTCCACTTACGGAAACAGCTACAGGTAAATAAGAAATGATGAGTAGAAATAGCTTTCTACAGATATCCAGTTGGTTATCCAATACCAAATGATCAACCCAGAAAACATATATATATACATCAACACACCTAGTGAGCAGGTTGCATTTATGTATTTACGAACATATTCAATAAAATTAAAGAAAAGGGGGTCATAATTTCAAAGAAAACAATGAATACTTGGGAAGACTTTAAGGAAGAAAAGAAAAAGGAGTAATGAAGTTATTATTATCTCAAAAATTAAAGAGTTATTTATAAAGGGAAAACACCTAAACCAAGCTGGGACATTGACTTCAACTTTACCTACATGTTTACCAATCTATTATCATCCATCTACCCATCTGTCTACCCATTTATTCATCCATCCATCCATCCATCCAAAGAATAACCTAGACAGTCATCTGATGTGGGATTCCTTTCTGTATGTGGTGAATACCATTGGAAAATAAAGAAACTGCTTTGGCCTGTTGATAGGGCAGAACTTAGGTAGGCAGGGAAAACTAAACTGAATGCTGGGAGAAAGGAGGCAGAGTCAGAGAGAAGTTGTGTAGCACCAGAGACAGATGTGGGGAACTTTACCAGGTAAGCCACAGCCACGTGGCAATACACAGATTAATAGATATGGGTTAATTTAAGATATAAGAGTTAGCCAGTAAGAGGCTAGAGCTAATAAGCCAAGCAGTGATTTAAATAATACAATTTCTATGTGATTATTTTGGGTCTGAGCTGCTGGGCAGCTGGAAAATGAACAAGTGGCCTCCCCCAACATTCAGCTAGCCTTATCCATCTAATAATTCATCTGTCTTCCTACTCTTTCAACAACAAATGCTTATTAAACTCTTATAAGACAGTTTATTGCTCAAATGATTTAGAAAGTTGTATGTATCTACAGGAATAGATGTTAAGATTTTTATGCCCTTAAAACCAATGTATCCAATATTTAGAACTAATCTCCTACACACAATATCATTCCTGCTTGCCATTTTGGCTAATTCTTTCCTACCCCACAATACAAGGCTCATGGTACCCAGCTTGGTTCACCTGTTATAATTTTGTATGTCTTTATTTGCTGCGTCCTGAAAGTGACTAACACTTATTTTGGGGACAACAAACTAGTAACTGGGCTTACTAGCTACTTACTAGTAACTAGTAACTAGTAAGCTCTGAGTATGTGCTGCACAGTTTTATGTCAACTTGACACAAGCTGAAACCATCTAGGAGGGAGCATCAAGGAAATGTCGCCATAAATTCCGGCTACAGACAAGCCTGTAGGGCATTGCCTTAATTAGTGATTGATAGGGGAGGGCCCAGCCTCTCATGCAGCCATCCCTTGGCTGCTGGTCCTGGGTTTTATAAGAAAGCATGCTGATTAAGTCAGAGGGAGCAAGGCAGGAGGCAGCAGTCCTCCACGGCCTCTGCATCTGCTTCTTCTCCTGCTTCCAGCTTCCTGCTCTGTTTGAGTTCCTGTCATCACTGCTTTTAATGGTAAACTGTTATATGGAACAGTGAATGAAATACACTGTTTCTCCTCATGTTATTCTGGTCATGTTTCATGTCTGGCATTTCATCATAGCAATACTAACCCTAACCAAGACAAAGTGCTTCATGGGAATGTGTGGTTTCTTATCAAATCCAAAGAACATAGACATAATTCATTTTATATTGTGTTTGTCTTTGAACCAGGCGATATGAAAGGAGAGCCTTGCTAGCCCTAAGCTAGCTGCTTGCGTGCCTGAATAGAGACTGATGGAAAATTTTAAAGCAGGGGGAATGATTTGGGACCAGACAGCGAGGATGGGTGAGAATCCAGGCCTCTTTAGTTGTTTCATTCATCCTGTCCAGTGAACAACAGGTGAGAGGTACCACCATCACCCCACACACTTCTCAAGAATATACTTCTCACAAAGGGAGAGAGAGACAGAGACAGAGATAGGAGACACACACACACACAGAACCAGAGCCGGGGAGGGGGAGAGAGAGAGAGAGAGAGAGAGAGAGAGAGAGAGAGAGAGAGAGAGGCAGAGAGACAGATAGAGAGACAGAGTTCTCTATTGGCCTTCGGTTCCTAAAGGCTGCAGTCACACGGCTTTCCCAGTCTTTCACACTGTGATCCACTTACCTGGACAGGGTAAAATGTTGCACTCCTGAAATTCCATGGACGGACCAAGGCATGGCATGCCCCCATACTTGGGTTCTGGGTTGTTGCAAACACGCTTCCGGTTCCGAATGCCCCGGCTGCAGTCTCGGCTGCACTGGGACCAGGAAGTCCAGGCTGACCAGGCCCCATTGACAGTATGAGCAGAGTATCTTCCCGCTCGTAGAAAGTCTCCAGAAAGTCCTGCCAAGGAAACCCAAAATGTGATTCTGCAGGAGTTTTTCCCCTCTATAGGCTGTATGCTCTATGTCTAGAATTGCCCTAATAGTCAACCAAACCCTTTTCACACTTCACAAGCCAAAATGCTACTGTAGCTGAATAGCAGATAGACCATGCTTAAATTATAATATTTCCCTTTGATGGCACAGTGAATAGATGGATGTCAAGGATCAAACAGATTAAGAGTGTAAGTAAATTGGCGAAAAGGTCGTCAGACCAAACAAGTGAAATGAAGGAAAGCAATTAAGTGTGAATTGAAGATGCACAATTAATATTTTAGGATATGTGTTTTCAATTTAGACTTTGAAAGACTTTATCGAACACAGCTATATTTAAGACGTTATATGAGATATAATCTATCTTGTTGATTTTCTTAAAGAACCAGCTCTTTGTTTCATTGATTCTTTGTATTGTTTTCTTTGTTTCTATTTTATTGAGTTCAGCCCTCGATTTGGTTATTTCCTGTCATCTGCTCCTCCTGGGTAAGTCTGCTTCTTTTTGTTCTAGAGCCTGCAGGTGTGCTGTTAAGTCACTAGTGTGAGCTTCCTTCGTTTTCTTTATGTGAGCACTTAGTGCTGTGAACTTTCCTCTTAGCACTGAGTTCATAGTGTCCCACAGGTGTAGGTATGTTGTGCAATCATTTTCGTTGAAGTCTAGGAAATCTTTAACTTCTTCCTTTATTTTTTTCTTGACCCAGGGGTGATTCAGTTGAGTACTATTCAGTTTCTATGGGTTTGTAGACTTTCTGCAATTAGTGCCATGGAACTCATGTTATATAGAATAAAATGGGGAAAATGAAATAATACCTGAAATTCATTTTTTTTGTTTTTTTTAGCATTGTCTGGTTTATTAACATAATTGAAACATTTTGCTGATAAAACTCTTGCCCATGACTAGTCTAGCAGCAAAACTCTACTAAAAAATATTTCACTGTGAAATGGTATTGCAACTTGGAGTTTTTAATTAATGAGTTGATTTTCATAAAGTAAATCTCACTCTTAAATCAGCAGATGATATGATTACCAAAAAAAAAAAAAGCTTCCTTCTCCCCATTCCAACCCCATGAGGATCAAGCTGAGGGCCCTGGGACCCCACTGAGGGTGGAGAGAAAGCGCTACAACCTGTTTCTAACTAACTGGGACAGGCTCCTAGGACACATCCAAACGCATACTACACAGAAACCACACAAGGAGTTGAATTTACCAGTCAGCTCACAGGAAGGCATGGGTCAGGTCAGCTGGGCAGAGCACACCCTTCTTCTTACCACAGGCTAGCTCTAAGGTGTCTTAATTTCGTCAGCTACGAAATCAGCCTGGCTCCATCCTTCTAGCTTTAGACAAAGTTTCTCTCTGTAGCTTTGTAGCCTGTCCTGGAATGCACTCACAGAGAACCACCTGCCTCTGCCTCCTGAGTACTAGGATTAAAGGTGTATGTCACCACCGCCTAGTTGAAATTCATCTTTGAATTCTCATATTTTATCTTGTAATCTTATTAAATTGAAAAGATCAACCTTTGCAGAATGTGCACATTTCATCTGGACCTCCTATTACCCTTCCTTTGGAATTTCTAAGTGAATCTTTTCTTTGAGCAACAGCAGGGTTTTATAAAAGAAGCCAAGGTGACTGTTATCTGCGTCCCCTCGCTCAGGTAATGGTTTTAGTTCTACATTGTACATTTATGCTCATAAGACCCTTCATCAGAGTAGACTCCATTTGAGAAAACAATAGGCTGTGTGTTGTTGAACTGTAGGCATCAGCAGTCTGAGACATGCCAGAGCCTGCAAATACAGACGGCGAGGAGGGGTGCTTTGGAAGTGAAGAGTGTTTGGTAAGAACGGTTACTCCTCTGTCACCAGGCACGCTCCCCGCTCCCAGAGAAGGCATGGGGACCTGTGGCCTGAGAGCAATGCAGCCCACCCCTTACAACTTGACTGGGACAGGAGAATGCACCGAGTTCTTTATAAATGTCATCGATATGACCCTCCCTGTGTCGTACATCGGTCTCTGAACAGCAGCACTCATGGGAGAATCAATAAAGATCACTGAGTGCTGAGAGAGGCTTGTGGGTGTTCCGACTCAGATGTGCCTGTCATTCATACAAAGCCTTCCTCTGGGCACTCCGCTGTGAGGGTCTCTTGCCCTTCAAGAACTAGGATAAATTTTATGCAATTAGATAAAAGTATTTTTTTTAAAAAAACGAAGAAGAAAGCAAATAATGTACTTTGGAGAAAAGACTCAACCATTCCTGCAGGAAGTCCAGGGGGAGACCCGCCAGTGGTGCCACCATGGGCAGTGTCCAGGACAGGCAGAGTACAGGGTTGGGTTTGCCCTGGCTCTCCACAGCCACATCCAAAACTTTCACAAGACCACTAAGGCAAAGCACTATTAGCATCGATGGATCTAATGTGCTATTTAATAGAAAAGCCACTTCATGGTATAAATAAACAAAAGGCTTCCACTGTCTTTGTCTACTTTAGTCTCCCCACCCCCACCCCACCACCTTACCCCTGCACCCCTGAGAAAGGGTTTCTCAGTGTAACAGCCTTGGCTGTCCTGGAACTCAATCTGTAGACAAGGCTGGCCTTGAACTCTTGAAGATCTGCCTCCTGAGTGCTGGAATTAAAGGCCTGTGCTACCACTGCCTGTCTACTTTAGGGTTTTCAAAAGGGGAAAATCTACTTTTCAGCTATTACTTTTATGACAACTACTCTTTTCATCATATTCTCTAATACGAAATAAATGTCATGAAAACTATTTTGGATCAACCCTAGGCACAGCATTATTTAAACGGGGGGCTCCCTCTAGTTTTCCATTTCAAAGGCTTTCCACGCAGGTGCCCATCCCCCCAGGAGCCCCTTACCATCTGTGGAGCAGCCGCTGGTACCATCACTGGAACAGTACCGCATTTCAATCCTCTGCCTCCCCACTTCCAGCAGGTTTGGATCCGGCAGGCGGGCTTTACAAGTGTATCGGAACCGCTGCTCATAGTGACCACCGTTGTCCGAGATGTTGACAGGTGTCCAGGGCGTCCACGGTGTGGTCTTCTTCAGCTCTGGGCACGCGTTAGTGTTACAGGGCTGGTACTCCTGGAGGAGAGGATGCAAGCATGTCTTACCCCACAGCGCACAGTCAGCTCAGTGGGGATTCCTTTCAGGCTGTGCCACCCTCTGCAAAACTGTGGGGCCTAAGACACTCAAAGCTGCTCCACAAAATCAAAACCATATTTGTGTTAAACTGTCGCTTAACAGACAACTTTCAAGTCACCTTCCAAAGAAACCCATGGTTTCTCCTGTGTAGACAATGGAATTGAGAAAATCAAGAAAACGGCATGTGTAAACATGGTAAACACCTAAAATGACATCTTCCTTTTTCTTAATAAATTGCTCACAATGCTGCCTATTTGGTGTTAGTTTAGCTATTTTATGAAAACCTTAGAACCAGAATAATGAATGCTAGCAGCCTTGGGAGAAGCTTCACAGCATTGGAAAAGGGGAGTGTCCTGGCAGCACAGGGAGGATGTGCAGCCTGTAGGATTCCTCCCTCTATTCCCCTATGACACCTCTCAGTTTCTCCTCCATTCTCCCTTGCCCACATATAACCACAGGGTGAAGGGTTTGGAGCTCAGGGAAGAGTAGATTTGAAGAGACCTATAAAGTGAGACACAGTGTCTGGGTGGGGTGTGAATAGGACACAGGTGATAGAAATGTGCCTGGTACTTGGCAATCAATACTAAGGGTACTGAATGAGGGGAAAATAGTTGACTGTTGAGGCAGCTCTGTGCCACAGTTCCTCCAATCACTAGTAAAGGTTGTTTCACTAGGGGAAAACCAACAACGTAATGCACCAACTTATGTCCATACTGTAAAATTTTAAATCAGTGTTAACTCAAATATAAAGCAAGAGCTAAGCCATTTTCAGGACACAGCAGCAGCATTGTATGCATGAAGTCACAGTGGCTGTGCCTGAGTGTACAAGACCCGTACAAGATCAAGCCAGCCAGAGTCCCAGCATGGAGGACAGAGAGGCTAATGAAATCCTACTCCTGAGCAACTGTTGGCAGTTGATGGCTGCTGGGAGGAGTCAGATTAATTCAGGGATATGACCCATGAGAAGTTACCCACATTCCTACAGATGGTCCTATACCTACACTTATGGAGCAAAGTCCACAGTAAGTGAGCACAGTAGGCTTTCTTAAAAAAAAAAAGAGTGCTTGAAACGTGGAGGGAAATGTGGGGAGAGGGGGAGGATGTGAAGGGGAGGAAATTTGGGGGACATTAGAGAAAGACGTGTACTCATGTACAGAAGTCTCAAAGAAAAACCAACAGAAAAGCAAGCTTAGCTGTGCTTGATGCTCTGTAGCTCTGTGCTAGGCTCTCCATTCTGTTTTTAATTTCTTGTTGGGAAAGCCATCCCTTAGATGGCTTCCTATTGGCTGGAGTAAATCCTGGAGTCGCATTCTTAAGTAAGGACGCCTTCAAGACAAAGAGCACACTCTTCGTTACCCTCATAAAGCATCTCCACATGTCAAACTATATGTAAACAATCTACATATATCGAGGTATTGGTAGAGATTTTAGGTCAAGAATGAATTTTCTTCAGAGAGGAATACTTCCTGTACTCTTATCTCCCAGTGACACAGTTGAGAAGGGCAACACTAGCTGATCAACTACCTGCATTTCGGTCATTTTGGAAACTATTTGAAATAAAAAATTAGTTTTTTTCTTGTTTTGGCTTTGTTATATGGTCTCTGTCCCGGTGTTTTTTCTTATCAGAATTTCTATCATATGGATATGATCAGGTTAAACTTTGACTATCTCATTTATTATGTCTTATTTTTTATTTCATCTCCTTCCTACATTTTAGGGAATTTTGATTCATTCCTTTCTGCATTGTTTCCATAAATACTTTGGGCACACAGAGCCAACTTTTCTTATCAGCTTGGAAATTCCTGAATACAATTTCTAAATGCCAGCCAATTGTCAACTGGGAAGCAGGTCCCTCTAAGCTCAAAATCTGGGTTGGTGGCTATGTTAATTCTTTCTAGATATGTCCATCTATGTCAGCCTAGATTTATTTAGTTTGTCACTGAAAACAGGGAAACCTGGTTCTTATTCTCCCCGTGTTTCTGGGTTCATGCTTGAAAAACCAATCTCCCAAATATAGAATTAGTGAGTTTCTAGAAATGGACACCCTTGTATGTCGGTGACAACAGCTTAACCTGAAAGGCTAATATACTCTCATCTCACCATTGTTATACTTATTCTAAGCAGTCTTATCGCTTTCTTCCTTTTCTGCAGTAAGAAATACTCAGGGCATATGCTTGTAATACAAGAGGAATTTAACACAGAACATATAAACATTATATGTGTTTCTCTGATTTAATACCCATAACCACTCCTATCAGTTCACACTAACTTCACTCCCACAAAACTAGAAAAATGGATGCCTTCGTTTTTCTCTGCAGACAGTAAAATTGTGGATGCTTCCTCCTACATGGAACAATAGCTTTTGTAAATTCTACAAACCCAACATTTGGGGAGGTGGAGGCAACACAGGCTTGCTCTCTCTTGTACTTGGCATAGAGGCTATCGGACAGATGAGGAATAAGCTCTCATCTTAACCCTTCCATGCCCATTGTGAGTGGTACCACAAGAATCATACAGCATGATTGTCTGATGCCCCATGTCAGCTTGGCTGGGCAAGTGTCCAGGAATGCCTTGATAGCATACCCTCAAAAAAGCATCCGAGGGGTTGACGTGTGAACTGTGTAGTTCTCAAGCACCAATAGCTTCAATGTTGATAGTAGAATAATTATGGCCCACGAGACTACTTATAATTATAATAATTATTTAATTATTTAAATTTAATATTTATTATTTAATATTTATATATTCATTATATATTATATACAATATACTTATTATATATAATATATAATAAATTTAATTTTATATAATTAAATATATTAATATTTATAGAATATAAATTTACCTATTTTATATTATATATATTTATTATTTAATATTTATAATTATTTAATATAATAATTATTTAATAATTATGATAATTAAATAATTATACCCACGAGACTACTCCCAATAATCCATAGCTTCTTTGCATCTGAAGATATCCAACCTTTGAAATCTGTGGCTGGTACTTGGCATTGGAAAGTGGGCTCCAGTGTCTGGGCTGGTATGTGTCAGAAGGACAGACTGTCACACATACGCTAGCAGTGACATAATAAATTCAAATTAGCTACTCAATTTGGGTTCATTATATCTAAGTCTCTAACAAGGCATCTGTCTCCATGTTTTTATCTTCTCAAGAGTTGAACATTTAACTCAAAACTCAGCCCACCCACCTCTGAGGCTGGATCATGCTTGCATTTTGTGTGAATTATCTAATTATGAAAGCCTAGGAAACAGTGAGACCAATCTGTTTCCCTTAATTCCCCAAGTTAGCCAGTAATTCAATTCAGTTGTGGTCCCTCAGATAGCTTAACTGAATCTGTTTTCTACAGCTTACTGCTATAAACACCTCCCAAATTTGGAGGAATTGTGAATGAATAGCACACCGCTGAACAATAGAGAAATATGTCTGCTTAAAAAACTATTTTAAGGAGTTAGTTACTATTATTTGACACACACCAGTCTTACTATTCTGGTAGAAATTAATAGATAAGAATATCAACTAAGGCAATTTTAAGAAATTCCTCCGAATGTGCTCCCCATGGATTCTCTATCTCAGTTATCAAGGGTAAAACCATCTATTTAACATTTTAATTCAAAAATCTGTGAGCTACTCGGCTGTGCCCCTGCTCCCTTTTCTGCTAGGGCATGTGAGTGTAGCCTCCTGAGTTCATTCGCTGCCCCCATCTCTCTTCACTTTCAGGAGAGGATGGCCGTCGCTCATCACCTTCGGCTCATGATAGAGAAACAAGGTATGTGTTTCACTATTCCCAAATTCTGCCTTCAACAATACACTACAAGTTTTCAGGAGAAAGAAAAAGAACTTTTTACTTTTTATCTTGCATCACCAGTTTCAAGCAGTTACAGAATTTGCTTGGTGAATGGGTAAATCGCACTGAACATGGTTCGGATAAGCCCATTCAAAATGAATTCAAATAAATTTGGGGAGCCAATTCAGATGGTTATGTGGAGCCTCCTGTTTTGCTGCTTATTTTTCTTTTGAAAAATCTAAAACAGTTTACAGATGAAAAGGAAAGTAGAGAGATGGAGACGATCCAAGAAGAATTTTCATGCCATATGCTCAGTACGATGTGGGGGGAAGCATCCTTAGAGCCATTCCATCAATCGCTGAATATACAAACCAATTCATGTGCATGCGGAATACTTGTTGTTTCGGTGTGCATTTATCAAGTTCTCATTCAATAACTTAACGTGGCATGCAGAGACAGAAAGCTAGCCTCCATAAAGGAAAAGCAAATTCAATCGTGTTCACAAAGTGACCAAGCGTGGGCGCTTATGCAGGCCAAATAGACCTGAGACCACAAAGAAAAGATTCAAAGGAAATACTGAGAATTAGTTTAGTGGTACCTAGGATGCTGGGCAAGCAGGGAAAGTCACTAATTCATGTAACATGAAGGGGCCTGCTTGTTGAGGTTTCTGTCCCACCCAGTACCCCAAAGCCGGCAAGCCCCAAAGAAAATCATAGACAGGACTCCATAAAATTATAAACTGATTGGCCCATTAGCTCAGTCTTCTTATTAACTAATTCTTACATCTTATGGTAACCCATAATTCTTGTCTGTGTTAGCCATGTGGCTCAGTACCTTTTCCAGTTGTCAGCTCACATGTTGCTTCCTTGGTGGTCTGGGCAGGAATGACAGAGGAAGCTTCCTGCTTCCCAGAATACTCCCTTTCTCTTTGCTCCACCTCTACTTCCTGCCTGGCCAATCAGCATTTATTTAAAATATGATTGACAGAATACAGACAATTCTCCCGCACCAGATTCGAACTAACATGATCGCAGAGTGGCCTGCTCACCACCAAGATACAGCAACGGAAATTAACTCTTTGGTCAAAAGTACCCAAAGTAACCTGAAACAGCAACGTTTGAGATGCCA